GACGCAAAGTGGGGGAGACATGGGAAGGGAGGAGGCACTCCAGGGAAGAAGTGAAAGGGGACGCGGAGAGATGAAGCAGGGCTGCTTGTGGGGCTGCTGGCCAGTCCTCCTCGCTCTAGGAGCAGAGCAAGTCAGACGGGGCCCCCCAGTGTGGAAGGGCTCCTCTCAGAAGGGGGAGCAGAGAGCTGGAAAGTGCAGAAGGGGTGGCCCAAGTGGTTGGGGTGGGTGGAGCCGCTTCCTCTAAGGGGAAAGCTGAAATCCGTGGGGCTGATTAGCAGAGGGGCGCCAGTGGGGGGTGGGGGAGCGGTTTCCCCTCTCTTGTAATAGGCATGGTCATCAGATGACCTTCATAGGCTGTCCTTGGAGGTGACCCAGATGGGTCTGGAATGAGCTGAGGGCATTTGCTGGCACGGGGGCAGCCCGAACGGCTTTGCAAGCGGGGCAGACCAGTTTCTGGGGTTGGAAGGAAGCTGCTGGAGAACAGCTGGGTGCAAAGCAGCTGGCCAAGAAGCGAAAGAGAGCTGCACCCCGCTCCAGCCAGCAGGGGGCACTCTGGCCTCCTCGAGCTTCCCTGGGGCCTCTGGGCTGGAAGGACCTTTGGTCCAATCTGGCAGGGCCCTTTGGCACCCCACCCGGCCACCGGGCCACCTCGCCAGACCGCCTGTGAGTTATTCCCGTTGTTCCAAAGAGCTGGACTTTCTCCCCTGGATACAGAGAGAAACAGCAGCGTGGATCGGGCTGTGGCTGGCGCATGGGATGGGTGAGTAAACGCCCATTTGTGGCCAGGGGCTCACCCCCACAGGGGCACCCAGGCACCCTGGGACTGACGCATGCCGCTCCCAGAGCCTCTCCCAGTTCATTAACACTGCCCGGAAAACGGCAGCTCTTTGGAAATGTGGGCACTGGGTGCCCCTGTCCTTGGCTGCCCTGTGCGCCTGGCCAGACGCTATTAGCCTGGCATTGGGGCGGAGAAGGCGGGCGGCAGCCCTCCTGCCCGGCTGCAGTGGGGGGGGGTCCGGTCCCGAAGCACTTTCCTGCTCCTGTTCTGGGATCCTAGTACTGCAAAATCTGGGCACCTGCCCTGCCTTGGAGAGATCACTTGCCCGTGATTTCTCTCCCCCGCCACACACTGAAAAGAAATAAAGTCTGAGCTTTGGAATGGCGTGCATCATCTCTGTAAATGAAGAAGACCAAGAAGACGAGCCCTGTGGTACATATTCTATTTCTGGATTTATTTTATTAATTCTATTTTGTTTATTTTGGTTCTGTTTACTTTCGGTAGCTTATTTATGGATTTTACTGTCACTGGTATTTTGTAATTGTGGGTTGTTATGTTGTGTACTGTTTTAATGCTGTTTCTGGATTTTAATATGATGTAAATGGCCTCTAGGGCAGCATGTAACTCGAATGAATGAGTGAATGAATGGGTGAAATGCCTAAACAAGGCATTTCGTGAATTTCTTCATGCCCCGTGACTAGCAAGAAAACGTGTTGCAGCCCCTTCTGACTGTTTCTGAGTGTATGTTCCATTCCCTATATTTATTTACTTATACAAGTATTTATAGGCCACCTGTGACTGCTGAAGCGTTTCTAGGCAGCTATATATGCCTGTACATATTCCTACATGCTGCTTGAGGGCTTTCCTTGTTGGCCACTGGTTGAGCAGAATACTGTACTGGACAGACTGATCTGGCAGAGCCCTTTGGTTTTTACAGTAACCAATGAATCCGTCCCATTCCATGTAGGTTCTGCCTGCGAGCATTCAACTTGCCATTTATCCATCCTCAAGGAGCTGCAGGACTCCTTCCTGGCTTTGCTGCAAAACTTCTCCTAAAATAGTATTAAAGGCGTTCTGAACTGGAATATGCCTTGGAAGTTCCTTTGCCCAAGTCGGTGAGATGAGGAGGACCCGCGAGGGTGCCTGCGCCATTGAGCAGAGCAGGCTGCAATGTCCCTGCAGATAAGCCCCCGCTTCCTTTTTCTAAGCAGTGCTGGGTGGATGTGGATCCCTCTTGAGTGCAGAGCTATTGGGGTTTGCATGTTCTGGCCCCGCTGGGCTGCATTCGTTTATCCTGCCAATCCTACCAGGCTCCCGAACAGGGTTGGACAGCCTGGGAAACAACAGGTGAGAGTCTCCTCGCAGCTTTGCAGGATCCTCAAGGTGGCCTTCCTACCAAGTGTTTGTACCTTGTGCAAAAAATCAGGCGGCAAATGGCTGCCCACACAGTCCACAAAAGCTTCCGCTGTCATGTACACGCTCATCTTTAAGGTGCCACGAGTCTCACTGTTGATGCCGTTGAGTATTTCTCAACTTGGCTGGGAGACAGAAAAGCAGCCACAGAGAGCGCCAAAAGCGGCCTCATTTAGAAAAAGGTGGACTTCTTTCTTTGCATTTCTTGTCCTCCTTTTCTGTGTGATGCTGTTTGCCTGTTTCCCCCAGAAAAATCAACACTGGAAACTTGCTAGGTGATAGATGGACAAACGAGCCCGCAAGCAACGGACCCTGAGGAACCTCTGGTGCCTGGACGTCTTGGCGTTAACACCTCCCTTCCACCCACACCAAGAGCATCAGGCGCCTGCGCCACGAGGCGCATGCCCCCCCCCCCACTCTCCTGCTGCTGCACTCTTGCCCCCGGGGTACTCCTGGCACCAGCTCTGTGTTCCCTTCATCCCCCACCCTGTTTCAGGGAACAGCCCTCCCCTCCCTGTCTCAGGCTCACCCCCAATTATGCAACCGCCCCGCTGCCTCTGCCAAGAGCACTCCCGCCCGCAACAACTCCCCTGTGTCGCAACAGGGCGTGCCTCCGCCACCCGCTCCTCGGGCCCTGCAGGGCGCCCTCGAGTGCGGGCAGGTGGGGGCTGCCTGCTGGGCAGGTCCGTGGCCCGGGCTGCGGTGGCAGGGACCTGGCAGGCAGGCCCGTCCCTGGCCTGGGTGTGGGGGAACGAGGGGTCGCAGCTTCTGGGCTGCTGGCGGAGGCACGCGAGGTCTGGGCAAGCCGAGAGCACAGCCTGATGAGTGAGTCCTCCCCTTTGGCAGCGTGAACCGGGGGCGCCTGCGCCGGAAGATCCCAGGTAGGCGGTGGGGAAAGGCCAACCAGGCGCTCCGGGGCGATGCTGCCAGCAGCTCCATCACCAGCCATCCCCCTTCATGGATGTGAGGTGGATGGAGTGTGCAGCCGTTCCCCAAAGTCACCTGCAGCGGCTGCATGGTGAGGTCGCCCAGCTCCGGGCTGGATCTCGCTCTGGCATCAGGAATACGCTGGACCACCACATTGCTGAGGAAAACCCCAAGGAGTCCCCGTTTGCTGAAGCGGGAACGCTCGAGGTGCCTCGGGCAAGGACACTCGGGGGTGGGCCAGCTCACTCTCCGGGCCTGCCTGCCCCAGCCTTGTGCCTTCCCGGCATGTTGGACTGCAGCATCCAGAATTCCCAGCAGTGGCCTTGCTGGATGGGGTGCTGGCAGTTGCAGCCCCAGTGCCTCTGGAGGCCCCCGGGTGGGGGGAGGGCTGGACCTGCAGGGCTCTTCTGAAAGCCGAAGGAGCCGCAGCCCGGCAGCACCTGGAGAGCCACGGTCTCCCACCCCTGCAGACTCCTCCTCTTGTAACGCTGCTCCCAAGCTGGGAGGGCTTGCCTGGGAGGGAGCCCCGTGCAGCGGCTGCGTCCCTTGTGGACTGGCCCTTCTGGGACCCGGCCAGGAAGCTGTAGCCTCGTGTGTGCAGACCTGGTGTTCCAGTGGCAGCTGCACCCCACTCACTGCAATGGCACTCGCTGAATAAGGTTACGAGTGCTGGATTTCACCCCAGCAAGGCAGGGCAGGGCAGGTTTCAAGCACGTCAGAAATCACCTTGCAAGGAAGGGGGTCCCCTGCCCCTGCACACCCCCTCCGGCTCTGCTCCGTGTCACGCTGACATGCCCTTCAGGAACAGGAAGTATGTGAGCCACACAACATCACACGGTGGGGGACAACATTGCACCTGGTGCCGAGAACTCCAGAGCAGGGGCCAAGCCAGAAGCCCCAGAAGGCTCCTCCTCATGAATTTGCTGCGGGGAATCCTAGTCCCGCACATCTGCCCCAAACCGCAGTAGCTGATCTTTACACGAGAGGGCAGCTTCTCTCCTCTGGATGGGGTGGCTGATGGGTCCAATCGGACCTGTCCAGCATAGCCTACGGTGAGGAAGGCTGAAAGTCCACCTGGTCGCAGAGCAGGTCACTGAGGATTTTGGCAAGGAGACCCGGTGGGGCGGGCAAAGCATTGCCTTCACACTGGGGGGGGGGGCTGCCCCCCCCCCAGCGCCCCACCATAGGCCGGGGGGCACCTGGCATTCCTAGAACCCCAGGCAAGCGGCCTGACCGGCCAGGCCACGCGCCCGCCGCCAGAGGGCAGCAGGGAGCCGTGAGTCCCCGGCGGGGCAGCCGCGCCTGGCCTGAGACCGGCCGGCCGAGGCTCCTTCCGTGCCGCGCGGAGGGGCCGCCGAGGCTCCGGCGCAGGACGAGGGGCTCCTGTCCGGCAGCGCCGCGTCCCACGCCAAGCCCTTCCGGAGCGACCGCGCGGGAGCAGCAGTTCCCCGGGCGAGCGCTTCCCGGGGGCCGCTGAAGTGCGCCGGGCTCCGTCCCACACAGCGGCTGCGCATCAGGGCCCCGCGGGGCGAACGCGGCTGCCGTGCTGCCTGACGCGCCCCCCCCCCCACGCCCCCGCCGCTGCGGCGGCGTCTTTAACTGCTGGCGCGGGGCTCGGCTTTAAGACAGGTGGGCGGCGGCCTCCCTAGCTCACCAGCCTGCGAGGAACGGGCTGGCCGGGAGGGCTGCCCGCCCCGCCGTGCGCTTGTCCCGGAGCAGGGCTGGCGCGGCCGCTCCGCCCGTAGCGCCCGCCAGCCGTGGGGTGGGCGGTGTGAGGGGCCCGGCCCGGCCCGGCCCGTCCACTAGCGGGCAGGAGGGGCTCGCGCTGGCCCCGGAGCCCGCGTAGCGCCGCCCGGTGGCCCCCGGAGCGCCCGGCTCCGCCATGGCGCGCGGGAGCCGGCCGGGCCCGCTGCGCGCCCTGCTGCTCTTGGCCTTGCTGGCCGCCCTGCCGCTCCCGCAGGGAGGCGGCCCGGCGGCCGCGGCCCCGGAAGGGGTTCTGCCGGGGGGCGCCCCCCTCCCGCTCGCCCAGGCGCTGCTGGGCCTGGTGCCGCCCTCCGCCCGGGCGCGGGCGCGGCGCAGGAGGCGAGCTCGCGGGGAGCCGCTGCGCTACATGCTCAGCTTGTACCGGAGCGTGGCCGACCGCCACGGGCAGCCTCGCGGGGACCGGCGGCTCAGCACGGACACCGTGCGCCTCGTCCAGCCCTTCGCCAAGGCCCGCCAGCCGCGGACAGGTGAGCGGCAGCGCGGCGGCGGCGGGGCCCCGCCTCCGGCGCCCCACAGCCCCGGCCTGCTGGGGAGCGCAGACCCCGCGTCGTCTCAGCCCGGGGCGGCGCCCAGCCTGCCGGCCGTGCCGAGCAGCTGCGCTGGCGCGGGGGACCCCGAGCACCTTCGGCGGCCGGCTGCCCCTTGGCCACCGGCTCCCGCCTTCGCTCTGCTCTTCCTGCAAGGCCCGGCGAGGGCGCGGGACGGACTCCCTGCGCGACCCACGAGTGCGCTCGGAGAAGCATATTGGGCGGAAAACCTCCCCGCAGGCCGAGGAGAGCTGGCGTTCACCTTGGCCTCAAGCTGCCCCTGCCCCCCCCCCGCGCACAGCCCCTCCCTCCTGCTGCTGCTTGCCTGCCAGCCACAGCCGTGGCCGGCTGTGTTTCCGTCGGGGAAGGGGCTCCGTGCAAGGCGGGGGTGGAGGAGCTCCCCCTGCTTTTTGCGGGCTGGGGGCTGCGGACCTCCTGCGTCTCCTGGAAGGAGGAGGCCGGGCGAGGAAGCCGCTGCTGCGCCAGCGGGCGGACTGCACCGGGAAGGCTGGGCTCGCCTTGCTCCGCTCGGCGCCAGGCGGCCGCAGGTGCAGGGAAGCCGGGCAGTGCAGGTGCGCGCGGGGTGGCCTCCCGGGTGCCCCGAGTGCTCGGCCCGACCAAGCCGGCCCTGTGCAAGAGCGACTCCCTGGAAACTGGGGCATTGCGGGCGGGGGGCAGCGAGCCGCCTGCTGCTGAGCTAAGTGCCCTCCTTGATGAAGGCTCACGGGGGAGGGCGGTGAAGCTGCACGTCCCCCGCTGCTTTCGCACAACCCCCGCAAACGCTCCGGGTTCAGCGACGGCCTCTTGCCTGTGCATTGATTTGCGTCTGTATACCGGTGACCGCACTTTGCCTGCATGTCTTCGTGGGGCGGTGAGATGTATTTTTCCTCTGTGTTTGTTCCCAGGGAGTTAGGAGATACCTATTTTGTCTGTGCATTTGTTTATGTGTGTGGGGGGGTTGTCTTTACTTCCTCTCGGTAAAATGAGTGTTTTGTTGTCCTTTGTGGGGACAAATATATGCTTTGGAATTTGAAAAGAAAACCCACCGTAATTTGCGCTCAGGAAGAAGTTGGGTGTGGAAGGAAGACTTTTGCCGAAGAGAAGGGAAAAGGAGCCTGGAAGAGAGGCGGGCAAGCGCTTGTGTCTCAGCTTTGCTTCAAATTGGGGTGTGTGGTCAAGAACGGAGCCATTAATTCTTGCCGTGCACAGTCCAAAAGGCCAGTCGGTCCACAGGGAGGCTAACCAGATCCTGGCTTTGCGGTATTTGTGACTCAGACTGTGTGTCTGTGCCGTTTCCTCTTGCTTTTGCACTCTCAGTATCAGTTAAGGGTCAGCAGGATGGGGGGGGGGGGGGGGACATGCGCAAGGGGCTGCCTGGCCAGTAGGCTGGGCTTGCACCGCAATTGGTTCGGCTAAAGGAAGGACGCAGGCCAGCCCCCCATCTCAGGCATCCCAGAGGGGCCAGGCCAGGCTCCCACGGACATGGGGAGCTGGGCCTACGGGTTGGTGCCTTTGGCTTGCACCCCGCTGCCGGACTCGGCCCCACGGTGGCCTGGCTCACCACCTTGTAAGAGCGGGTCAGCTTGCTGTTTGATGGCGCGATCGTGCGCCTACGCAGAAGTGGGGTTCCTTGGATCCCCGGCTTTCCCCTGCAAGCAAGTGTGCATGGGGCTGAGCAGCACGCAGGGACGGGACGGAGGCGAGGCGCGGTGGGGGGAGGTGCGCGAGGGGCTCGGATTCAGTCCCCCGGCCTCGGCACCCAGGAGCAGAGGCAGCGCCTGGGGGCACAAGCAATCCAGGCCACGTCCAGGTGAGGCGCTGCTCTCTGAGGACTTTCCAGGACGTGCTGAACTGTGGCTTACGAAGGTGTCGGAGCCCTCACAAAATCGGCTGCCCACTTCAAAACGGGGTGGGGGATGAATGGATGCTGAATTAACCAGATTTTAACACAGTCGTGTGATTCTTGGACCAGCTGGACCGGCTGCATTCCTTTGTGTACATGCAAGCTGATGATACAACGTGGGAACCAGGCTATTCTGTCCCACTGTATTTCTGCTGGTCTTGACTCTCCCCCCCGCCCCCACCTAGCAAGCATGGGAGGCTCACCTTCCCCCTTTCCCCCATGGCCCACGGGTAGCGTGCAGTTGGTTGTGCTGCTTGTCAGTCTGAAAAACGTGGCAAGGGACCAGCACAGCTCTCCAAAGAGAGCGAGAGCTTCTGCATTCTTTAAGGATCCTTGTCAGGCTGATTGTGAAGCCAAGCTGGGGTGGGGGACAGAGGGGGGAGGCCGGCCGCGCCTCCAGGGGGGCGCTCTGGGTCACGCTCCGCCTCCGTCCATGGCTGGGAGACGGGGCTGCACTCTGACCTCTGCTTATCCCTGCAGGTGCCTGGCTGGTCTGGAACCTCGACTACCACCTGGAAATCGAGCCCCAGGTGGAGCGCCTGGTGAGGGCCACGGTGGTGTACTCCCAGACGCAGTCCTCCCCACGCAGCCAGTTCCTGTGCTCGGCCGAGCTGCTGTCCAGCCGAAGGGCCACATCCCGGGCCCCCCTGGGCCTCGCCTCCCCACAGGCCGACGGGAGGAGCACCACCACCGCCTCCTCCCGGGAGAGCTGGGTGGAGATGGACCTGTCCGTGCGCCTCCCGCTGTGGGCCTGGGCCCCCCCCAAGAGCCGGGTGGTCCACGTGAGCCACGCCTGTGCCTGCCTGGGAGGGTTGTGGGGCCAGGAGGACTCCCCCGCTCTGCACGACCCCTTCCTCCTGCTGTACCTCAACGACACCCGGAAGGTCCTTCGGACCGGGCTGAGGGGCTTGGGCGCCAGGCTCGTGCCCTCCCCACGAAGGCCGGCTCACGTCCGCTGGGCCCGCCAGGCGGGCGAGCTGGCCCTGGACCTGCCCGGCTACCGCTGCACGGAGCACGCCGAGCGGAGCCAGTGCGCCCTGCACCCCTTCCGGGTCAGCTTCCGCCAGCTGGGCTGGGACCACTGGATCATCGCCCCCTCCTGGTACCGGCCCCAGTACTGCAAGGGCAGCTGCCCCCGCGTCCTGCGCTACGACTTCCACTCCCCCAACCACGCCGTCGTGCAGAACCTCATCAACGAGCTGGTGGACCCGAGCGTCCCCCGCCCCTCCTGCGTGCCCTACGAGTACGGGCCCATCAGCGTCCTCATCCTGGAGCAGAACAGCGACATCCTCTACAAGGTGTACGACGACATGGTCGCCAAATCCTGCACCTGCCGCTAGGCCCCCGGCCGGGGCCGGCATGGGGAGGCTCCAGTCCCACTCGCGGGGCAGCTCCTTCCCAGCCTTCTGTCCGTGCCTGTAGAGCGGCCTGCCTTTCCCAAGCTCCGGTGCCAGGAGAGAGCAGTTCTCGGCGGACGGGCCGCTGCGCTGGCCCCGAGTCCCAGCGATGCCCCTGCTGCAGGGCGGGCGCCTCCTGCGCGTGGTGGCAAGCTGCTCTCTCGGTCGTCTTTTGCAGAGAAAGGCTGTGCCGGGAGCCTTCGCTCTGCCGGAGCCTTAGGGAAGGTGGGGCGGGCTGGGTGGTGCAGGAGGGTTCTGCCGGCTTCCCCCAAGGGCCTCCTGTGAGGTTTGCTTCTGCCTTCCCCCCTTGGGTATGTTTTGAGGTCTCCCCGACAAGGGGGCCCTTCTCAGGGCTCATGGCCTGCACGAATCGTGTGCCTTTCTTTCTGCAAAGCTCTCTTTCTGTGCCTTCTTCCCACTGGGACTGGAGCCAGGGAGCAGCTGCTTGCAGGCAATGGCCAGGGTGTCCATGCCCCTGCTGAGACGGGACTCCTGCGGGCGCGGGACACGAGAGCTTTTCTCAGCCTGGGGCCCTCCTGGGACTCCCCAGAGATCCCCTTCCCCCTGCTGGCTGTGGCACGTGGCCGGTCCAGGCTGGTCCACCCGTGGGCTGTGTGAGCTGGGGATTCCTGTTCCCATGGTGGTGCAGCGCTCGCGCCAAGCACACCTTCCTCGGATCTGCTGCCCTGCACCTTCCCTGCACACCGGGACCATCGCACTGACAATCACCTGCAGTACTGGGAGAAGTGAACCGACGGCGTGCGGAAGGGTGTTGTGGAGGCGGCTTTGTGGGGAGAGGAGCGCGCAGGAGGCGTCCCATGTGAATGCCCTTCCTCCTCAGAGGAGGGAAGGTTTTAAGTCCGCTTCTGGGAGTGAAGAATGGATTGTCTGGATGTTTGAAGCTGGGTGAGGCGGCTACCAGAGGCTGGTGCCCAGGTGGGTAGGGCTGGCCAGAAGCCCCCTCCCTTGGCTGCTGCTTCCACCTGTGGTCGCGGTCGCGGTCACTCTTGCAGCCCGGCCCCCAGGCACCCTCCCGGCACCTGCCGGCCGGGCCAGTTGAGGGTTTGAGGCTGTTGCAGCCACCCTCCCTCCTCTGAGCCGCAGTGCTTTGGAAGTGCCTCGCAACAGCGGTGGCCCTGCCCCCCCGCCCCGTGTGTCTCTCTGGGTACGCCTGCTTGGCCTCCGCCGGCCGGCCGGCCAGCCAGCCTTCCTCCCTTCCTTCCACTGCTCAGACCTGTATGAATGGCCAGTAAGCTGGGGCATCTCTCTCTTTTTTCTCTGCTGTGTCGCAGTGAAATGTGCAAATAAATCTGGTTTCTTTTGCTAAAGAGACTTCAGCCTCTGCTTTGGGGGAGGATGGGAGGAAGGGGAGCCTGGAGCCTGGGAGGGGGAGGCAGTCCCAGCATCCCATCCCATGCCCCCCACCCCAAGGGACCCTGGATCCAAATCCAGGGGATCCCACAGCCAAACCCTGTTGGTTCCCGGGGAGAGGGTGGGAGGGCTCCGGAGCAGTGGAGGAGAGGCGTGCAGAGAGCACCTGAGCCAAATCGGCGTGTCCGAAGGCGCAGGGAAGCACTCGGGGCCGGGCCTGGGCCAGGGCCTCAGCAAGGCTGCCGTCCCTCCAGTCCGCTGTGTGAGTGGAAGGCCCCAGGCCAGGATGCTCCCGGCTAGCACAAACGCCTTCCTCTCCTCGCAGAAGAGCAGCCAGAGAAGGGGGCGTGTGGGGGCCGCTCCATGGAGAAGGGCCACCTTCTCTCAGCCTGTGAGCACCTCTGCCTGCGGGAACGGCACATCCTCTGGAAAGGCGGCTGAGAGACTGGTCCCAGCAGCCAGGGTCCAGTCTCGTGCTGCAGAGGGCGCCCTGCCGCCTGCCCGGGGGCAGAGCTGTCCGCTGGCAGGGTGAAGGCCTCTTCTGGCCTGTGTCCAGTGTGGACAGTGCCCTGGGCAACGTTCCTAAGCTCTGCTGGACAGTCAACAGCCCTGACCTGGGCAGACCTGTCTGGGACGGCCGGGCTGGGCTTTCTGCTCCGAGCCGGCTGCGCCCATACAGTGGGCACACGCAACCTTCCTGGGGGCCTTGCAAGACCCCCATGAGCCCACCTCTGCCTGAGGGGGCATGAACAGAGTACCATGATCGGGGTGTGTGCTCGGGGCACCCTGTTTCATTTGACTGCCTTGTTAAGATTTCTGTCCTGTCCTTCATGCGCAACAGCATGGCCACACCATTAAATATCTGGGATAGAAAAAGAAACTGAAGTGTCAAAACAGTCTGAGTGGAACAAATACACAGAAGTTGAAAGCCTGGAAAAACAAAACGGTTGCCCTGCGCAGGCAGGAGGTCTGAGCGGGGTGCCCAGAGAGCCTCGGTGGGCAGTGTTGCAAACCCAGAGCCACCAGAGAAGACCCTCCCCTGGGGGAGGCCAGAGAACGGTGTCTCTGAGACCCCCCAAAGTGAGGGCCCTAGGTGGACGGGGTCATCCTTCTGCCAGGGATGGCTTAACGCCCACGATCAGCACGTTGGCTTGAGCCCCCAAACGCGCTGGGAGGCAGCGCAGAGGCACGTGGGCCTGGCGCCGGCTGCAGCCCTACTCAGAACAGGCCCTCTTCACGTGCCATGTCTGAAGGTGTCCCACCCGGTGCCGATGAAGGTGCTCTTCTGGGGGAAACTCCCCCACCCCCCCCCCCCCCCCCCCGCCCAGCCCCCCCGGGGTCCCTTTCCCCCCCCTTCCCCCCCCCCCCCCCAATCCTCAAGCAAAGCCGGAGCGCCCGCAACCCCAAGCTGAAGGCAAGGCTGCGGGGTGGTGGGAGGGGAGCCCCCTGGAGGCTTCCAGGGCCGCTGTTGGAAACCGCGAGTCCTACAGGTACGCAGGATGTGTAAAGGTGGATGCCGGCACAGGGAGGGAAGGCCGCAACAAGCCCGCATCCTGGAAAAGCTGACCCAGGTAGCAGGCCGGGCAGGAGGCGACAGGGAGGGTGTGCGCTCGTCGTCCCCGGTCTCCCGAGGCCCTCCATTCCTCCCACCATCCTGCGCCGGCTCCCCCAGAGGGTTCCTCCCTGCCACCGCCCCACCGTGTCTCACGCCAGTGGCCTCCCCCACCTGGACCGACGTTCCCGGCCCGCCCCTGGCCCTCCGTGCCAGAGAGCACGAGGCGCAACGGCGGTGCTGCCTGCCGGGGGCTCGGGCCAGGCGCTCCCACCCACCCCTTCGGCAGGGCCTTCTGGCACACCAAGCCAGCGCCTCGCTCGGTGCTCTGCTTTTCCTTCCCTTTCGCCCCATCCCTGCAGTGGGGAAAGGGAAGGGTGAGCTACCCGATCTGAGGCCACCTTTCAAGGAAGTCCCCGGGCTGTTTCCCAGCAAATTTATTGATTCATTTAAAACATTTCTATCCCGTGCTTTGCACAGCCTCAGGACGGCTTACAACGATTAAAGGCTGTGAAAAGGGAAATGGGGATGAGAAGGCTCTGCTGCTTAGCTCACAGCCAGCTTGGCCCCCCCCCCCCCCCCCCCCCCCCCGCGGGGCCTCTTCTCCCTGCTCCTCTGCAGCAGCCAGAGTGCGCTGAGCCATGAGGCCTCCCCGCAGCCGCTGCCCAGCTGCACTGTGCCGGACACCGGACAGCCTGGCTGGGTTGCCCAGGCGGAGGCAGCCTCTCTTCCAGGGAGAAATGGCCATTCCCTGCTCCCACTGGCAGGCTGGCTTGGCACCTGCGGGGAGTCTGCGGACAGACTTGCAGGCTTGGCTGGAGGAAGGGCCCTTCAGACAGGCCTCCCCTGCTCCCAGGGCCTTTGCCCCCTCGCCTGCCAGCAGGGCTGTTCCGCCTTGGAGGGGTGGGGAACCTGGCACGCTGGAGGGTTCTAGCCGGCCTGGAGGAGCCAGACGCGGAGCCAGACGTGGAGCCAACTGGGTGCTGGGGAATGTTCCAGTTAATCATTCAGCGGAGGACACTGCATCATCCTGAGCAGAAATGGTGCAACCTGCCCCTGGCCGGCACCCAGGCAGGCCTGAGGCGTCCAGGCCGGGCTCTTGCACAGATGGGAGCTTCCAGTGGCTCAAGAGCGGGACCTGCCAGCAGAGGCCCGGCTGCAGCCCCGGGTCCCTCTGGGCTGGGGTTTGTGTGCCGAGCCCACATGCCCGGCTCCTGAGCCCGGGGCCTCTCATGGTGGCTGAGTCTCCCTGCTCGGGCCGGGCCGGGCCGGGCCGGGCCGTGTCCTTGGCAGCGGCCAGAGGTGCCTTGCGGGAGGAACACCCTGTGGCGGCTGCTCCCCAGGGGCATTAGACCCATTGACCCCCGGCCTGTGGGTTTAGGGGGAGGGGAAGAGCCGGAGGGGGAGGGATGAAAGGGCCGGGCATCTCACAAATATTTGATCGCTGGCTCGGGCTTCTGGTGGAAAGCAGGCGCCGGCCCGGGAGGAGCAGGATGCAGGGCAGGCAGGGTGCAGGCACGGTCCGCGGGGGCCCCGCTGCTCTCTTGATGCTGGGGCCCCCGCTGCTGCTCCTGTGCCTTCAGCAGGTGAGCCTGGGCTGTGGGGAGGACGTGCCGTGGGGCGGCCGCTCTGGCTTGCCGGCTGCTGTTCGCAGGGGCTCCCCGCAGTGCCGCTGGCTGGACCACAGGGCCGAGGGCAGGGCCCTGAGCAGCCCCCACAGGGAGCAGCAGCGGAGGGAGCGGGGCCTGCACCTGGGCACCTGTGGGCTTGTGGGTGCCGCTCGCCGGGGCTGCCGGCCTCCCTCCTGGCTTTCCAGAGAAGCATTTTTAGTGAAAGGGCGGCAGGGAGGGCATGCCCAGATGCCCGCCCCGGGTCCCCCACTGGTTGGCTCCACGGGGTGCCTCTGGTGGGATCCAGAGTTAGCAGAGGGGGAGAGACAGGCCCCCTCCACCTGTTTCACACCAGGTGCCACTCTGCATCTCTGCCACCTCTCCCCTTCCTCACTAAATGGCCCCAGGCC